TAAAGCGCTCAAAAAGTGCTTTGAAACGTCTCGGAAATGTGATAAGACCCTATATCAAATGTAAGATTATTATTAGTACTACTATTCTATCATATATACTGTACATGCAGAGAGAGCGAGAGAAATCTCCCAGGATCACTGAGTGTTAAACGCGCACACACACACACACATACACACACGCACGTCTCTGAAACCCCCCCCGATGTTTCACCTCAGAGCGTGCACCAATTGCCGATGAGCAGGTGGATATCTGCCAATGTTGCTCTGTCAGCCAGCTGTCAAGAGACCGAGAAACATCTTTGCCTCCGATTTTGCCCCCTCCTTTCCTGCAGGGAGGTGATTGCTGTGAGGATGTTCGATGCATCCTCACAGCCAAGTCAACATACAAGTCAATCATTGCTCCAACTCAAACTATTACTTAGGATTTTAGGATTTCAATTATTTAGGTTTTTCTCGGTGTGACAATACAAATAGCAACTATTAAGTGGCCATCGATGAATTTGAATGAATGACGGGCAATTAGAAGAATATTTGTTCGACTTCTGTTAGGATGCAGAGGATATTAAGTCATATTCCATTGCTTTTCTTTTAAAACCCACGAGGGAAAAAAATCTGATCAAATTTTGGTAGGTATATTAGATATGACCTTATTCAAGTTTCTACAACCTTTTCAGGCTCCTGTTTCTACATGAATAATGTATTTTTACATTTGTGTACTTCATCAGCTTCCAGATGTTACCGGGTGTCGAAATTTCCTGTGGCAGATTCAGTCTATTTCACAGCTGTGGGAACCAGATCCGATTTAAGATCCTCGTGATGCTGATGTTAATTTATGACAAGACGAAGACACGCTCAGTGCAGGGGGAAAAAAAATCACCATAATTTCAGTTGGCTGCATCGCTGGCCTATTATTAGTGTGTCTGCATCCGTCACAGAATTGCTGCAAACATAAACAAACCATAGGATCACTGCTCCAGATGAAAGTCTAATTGGTAATGAACAATTAAAATGCCAGATGACTGCTCTGGTTTTTCTTAGGCTGAAATGTAACTCCTAAGGCATTCAGCAATCACAGCGCCCTCACACACAGCCTTGATACACAAATTCAGTGTATTTTGCATTGAAGAAATAGTGCTGAGGAATGGATCTTAAAATCTTGGGTCCAATGATAATAATAATACTAATATAATCCTTGCATTTGATATAGCATCTTATCACGTCTTTGAGACATCTCAAAGCGCTTCACAGAATACACTGTAAAGTAAACTGACTGTATATTTTGTGGGAGAAAGCATCATCCATCAATTGAGAAATCTAAACCGAGTTCCCGACGGCCTGTTCAGGTGGACATTAAACATCCAGTAGCACAATTTGAAGAGAGAAGGGAGTTTCACTGGTTCTCCCCACCCAACCCAACCGGGATTAAATCAGTCATTCACTGTAAAATCCTGTGAAGAATTTGACACGAAAAGCTCTGTATTAAATGCAATCCCCCCCAAAAAAAAGCAATGACAAGGCTCATCATTAGCAAGGCACACAGAGTTGTCATCATTTAAATTACTGGTCCTTACACAGAGCAGGGATTTCACTCTTCTGTTCACATTGGGAGTCCGTGCTGATCAATACCCACATCACAGACGAAGCTGATTACCTTTAACACTTCAGGATTTGCCTACGTTGAAAACTAGCAACCCAGCCCTGACCTGATCTCTTGATGTTTCAGAGTCAGTGGGTTTTCCAGGAACACAAGCACTTACTTATCATCCAGTATTTGCAGCAACACATTTGCACTGTCTTTGTAGAGAGAGATTCAGCAGAGAGAGTCAATGTTCCCTTCCCAAGTGACCCACTGCTCTCACAGAGTCTAAAGGCCAATCCCCTACCCATGTTAAGACTGAAGGTGCCAGTACTAAACCAAATGGAGGTTACAAAATGCCCTCAATGCAGTCAGACACATGGCCTATTGCATCAGGCTGACCCACCACTCACTAAATAACGCAATTGATAGTCATTTAAAGTTGAGCTGGGTCACTCTAATCTCGCCACAAGATTTAACTGGGCTCTTAGATTGATGATACAGATTGAAAATGTCAAGGTTATTTATACGTCACACCATACAGGATCAATGTATAAAGCATTGGTACCGTCTGCCTATTGATGTGGACATCAGCAATACCATGGCACTACTCAAAAAGAGAAGAGAATTTCTCCCGGTGTCCTGGCTGACAATCTCCCAAATAAAACTGATGCATTGGTAATTCAAGGCGAAAACTTGGCCAAGTTTCTTTACTCCACACAGACACACCTCTGTTTGCTTAGCAATAAGTAGGAAGCCGCTTGTTAATCGATTGGCAGATCGCTTTCCGGGGTTAACATTCCTCCAAAAAAAATAAGAAAAATAATTTGGTCACTCAATCCACGACTGTTTGTGGAACACTGCCTTGCGCAATTGGCTGCTGCATTTTTCCCACACAACACACAGTCACTACACTTTGCAGTATATCCCGTGAAGCGCTTTAAGACGCCTCAAAGACGTGATAAGGCACTGTATCAAATGCAAGGATTATTATTAATTCCCCAGCGACGGATCCTTTTCCTTTGGGTTTTCAAGAAACGCAAGCAGTTTCTCCAATAAGCTGCCTGCAGCTAACTCGAGATAAATCTCATGAACCACAGCTCATTGTGCTGTCAATGTGATTCAAGGTTTGGCAAACACGATAAATATTTTACGACAAGACAATGTACATAACTGACAGGACTCGGAAATCAGATTTTTATTTGGCAAGAGCCCCGATTTCAACTGATGGAAATGTGAACCCTTCGCGGCGAGAAGGATTGACAGACCGCTAAAGCATACCTCTTTATTTCTGAACCAATTTTTTTTTTGTCACACTGATATTTTCCCCGACGTTGTGACACATTGTGCTCGAGTGTATTGCAACTGATCCCATTGAGAATCCCTACGCATTTTGTCTCTATAGTGCAAACTGCAACGTTGCAGAAAACAAACGCCCATACCGGTTTCTAAGAAATACCGTGCGTAATTTTATTCTCAAACCCTTATTTTTTTCCCCAATAGGTGCCTGGCAAACATTGTATTGTTGTAAAATAGTTATCGTGTTTGCCAAACCTTGCATTTGATCTATTGCCCATCATGTGTAGAAATCTTCACATGATGACTTACGTTCAACTGTAGTGAGTTGCTGTTTTGTGGGCAAGTGTGGCAGCAAATGTGAGCCGGTGATATCCTACGGATGGGATGAATGAACGATTGAACCACGTTTTGGTAAACAACTGGGTGAGGGAGGGATATTGGCGGATGAGATCTTAAGTATCATGTCTCATTTGAAGGATATCACCTCAAATAATGCAGCAACCCTCCACTACTGCACTGGAGCATCAGCCTGGATAATAAATAACAACAATAATAAAATAATCCTTGCATTTGATACAGTGCCTTATCATGTCGTCGAGACGTCTCAAGGCGCTTCACAGAATATAATGCAAAGTGAATTGACTGTGGAGCGACTATGTATTCTGTGGATTGAGGTTTATAGATTACGTATGGGCAGTTCACACTTTACGTCGCAAGCTTGTGGACGAAACATTTTGTTCTTTGTTTAAGCGCAGCTTGGAAGAATTAAGAACAGCTCGGAAACACATTTTAAAGTAGTTAAATTAAGGGTTAATGTAGCTACTCAATGCTAAGGGGGGACAGAAACACATAGAAACAGGAGTACGCCTTTCAGACCCTCAAGCCTGTTCCGCCATTCTATATGATGATGGCTGATCTGTACCTCAATTACCACCTTGCCCCGTATCCCTTAATACGCTGACCTCAGTCTTGAAGACGTGAATGGATTGACAGCCTTTTGGGGGAAGAGAGTTCCAGATTTCCACTATCCTTTGGGTAAAAAACTGCCCCTAATTTCACTGCTAAATGGCTTAGCTCTAATTTTAAAATTATGCCCCCCCCACCCCCCCACCCGTTCTGGATTCCCCTACCGGATCCCTTTACTATTTTACGTGGAAAGGAACGCTGTATAGGGACCATGTTCAGAAAAATAATAAGTTCCATAAACAACCACGCGGGGGGCCCGAATTGTTTGGAAGATGTTCGTGTCTCGACAAACATGTGGTTCACTGTAAAATGTGATGAGGAATGCGATTCAATTATAGCAAGAGGTGGCTGCTCCCACTGTGCGGTAATTTTACTGCAAAACGGTTGATCTTGAATGTCTCTCTGAGGAAGAGTAGATCACGCCAGAGTGCAAGCGTGTCTGTCGTCTCGCACTTAAAGAGGCAGTGATGATTGGTTCCACAGGGATCTTTCAGGTAAGGTTTCAATTTGCGTGGCGCACAGCTCCCAAAGCCCCACTGTGCGTATGTTGTAACTATACACGACTGTACTTGTGACCGATGTTTAATTGCCGAGTCACCTGATCTTCTGCTGCAGTGCGATTTCTTTTAAACACACACAGACGCACACACACGGACACACACAAATATAACAGACACATACACATACACCAACAACAACCTGCACGCAGAGCCCCACCGTGCAGTACATACACGCAACATAGACACGCACGTACACGCAACAGGCACACTCGCATACAACACAGACAGACAGACAGACAGACAGACACAAAATGCTTGATATTACTACAGGAAAACTAAGAGAAAAAAACACAAATGGATCCAGTCAGCAACCTGGTCACAATAATTACACTGTTAAAGTGATCTGCGTCCCCCCCACCCCAACCCTAAATGTTTCTATCGACCTCAAATGCAATGATTCTTATTAAATAATAATAATAATCCTTGCATTTGATACAGCGCCTTATCATGTCTTCGAGACGTCTCAAAGCGCTGCGCAGAATATACTGTGAAGTGAATTGACTCGACATTGTGTGGGGAAAAATATACCCACAAAATATATATTATATTATATATTATTATTATGATCAAAAATCATTGTAAATCCTTCATCCTTTGTAACTAATAGTGACAGGAACGCAAAGCGGATTCTGCGGGTACCAACAATGCCTGTGGAGCTTGGAGACATCATTCATATTTTTCAGCCTTGATCCCTGCGGTGGGAGATCACGAGGTTCGGAGGAAAGATACACTGGTGTCAAAGAGTAAGAGTTTAGACAGTCTGTTCAGTAGACAAAGCAGGGAACTTTCTACTTTAAATCTTCGGGAAAAAATTGCCAAATAAGTTTATTTGCAGCCACTGGATGTGCTGAAGGACGCGTGTAGCTCGATGTTTCACAGGCCCAGGTTTCCCTCGGATTTATTCCACCTCTCGCCTTCATCCACTGCGAGCTCGGTCCAGCATTCCGTGTAATTAATTCGCTCGTCCTCTATTTGTATTGCTAAGTCACCGCCCCTTATAACTGATCTTCTTGTGTTCATCGCAAAGCAGGTGGCATTAATAAGTTAGTGGAAAATTTGCACCGCGCTCAAGAGTTTTGTGGAGCCCATTGGCAATAAATGTTCTCGGTTGCTTTTGATGTGTTCTCTGGCCTCAGGAAAGTCACGTCTGTTCAGAGTGAATGTTCATCATTAGTATGTAGCAAACGGCTACTAATACCTGAATCGCTGGTTAGACTAGTTATCTACATTTGTTCCCCCTGATTCAATGTCAGGAATTTGCACAGAGCAGCAGGTTTTGTTGTTGTGTCTTCTTACAGAGGTTTTGTTTTGTGGAGGACAGCTTTTTTTTAAAAAATAAGAGAGATTTCTCCCTGTAAAAAGTGGTCACTGCTGGTGCTCAACTGTGCACTCATTAGGCTTTTTTTCCCATTCACCCCGGAGAGCAAAGCGCTTCTCACGATTTGACTGTGAAGTGCAGTGACTGTGTATCTTGTAGGGGAACGTGGGGGCCAACGTACACATGACAAACCAAATAAAATCGGTCACTCAACCCACGACTGTTCGTGGGGACACTGCTGTGTGCAATTGGCTGCCCCGTTTCGCCCACAAAATGTACAGTCAATCCACTTTACAGCATATTCTGTCAAGCACTTAGAGACGGCTCAACGACGTGATAAGGCGCTTTATTCAAATGCAAGAGTTATTATTATGATCGGATGAGAGATGCGGGCCTTTTGTCACTCGGTACTCTCACATTTCTGCGTGTCACAGCCTGGGCGTCGCTTACAACGCTAAAGTAAACTCGGAACAACAGGTCACAAGGAACTGCGGTGCTCCAATATTGTACTGAAAAGGCTTCTACATTTGTTAATTACTAGTACTCAGCAGTCATCCTATTGTTAACATCCTGAACTGTAATTAGGGAGAGAGGGAGATGGTTTTGGATTGCAGCCAATTATGTCACTGGGGAGATTAGAGAAATCCTTTGAAGTGTAGCAAAAATGTGTGTGTGTGTTTTTTTTACCTAAACAAAAGAGCCAAAATGTGAAGAAAATACGAAGAGTAACTTCTGAACTCCAAATACTATTCTTCACTCTCATCAAAACTTATATTACCGTTAGATCTCTGGGGAGAAATAAAATCTCCACAAGCCACAATATAATTGATTACCTGTCCTGACACGTTTAGAGGCACTGGTTTCAGCAACTGAACTAAACTACACTGTACGTTCCCCACTTCCGTATAAAGATTCAGGTCACTGCTTGGGTAAATGTCATTATAAAAACTGACCTTCTTTTAAGTCTGATGGACAAACCCAAATCAATATCAATCCAAGTTGCTGAAAGAATTCTTGAACCTTAGTCCACTTTATACCCAGAGATCAGTTATACGGGGACCCGAGATCTAGAAGCATCAAAACAAGAAGGTGAAATATGACAATTATTATTATTATTGATAATAATACTTGATATAGCATCCTATCACGGTATTGTGATACCTCAATGTCCTTCACAGGATTTTACCGCGAAGTGTAGTGACTGTATATTTGTAGGTAAACGCAGCAGCTGATTTGAGAACAGCAATGTCCCACAAACTATAATAATACTAATCCTTGCATTTGTTATAGCGTCTTCACAGAATATACTGTAAAGTGAATTGAATGTATTTTGTGGGTGAAACCATGAGGTCAATGGCCAATTTTCTTTCTCAGAGCTGGGGAAGGGAGGAGATTGTCGATCAGGATACTGGGAGAAGGAAATGTGGCGCGTGACATGATAATTATCATTTACTGCATTCCTCCGCTCCCCTTCTCCCCCAATTCTGTACAGAAAATATAAAAGTACTGCCAGAAAGTAAAGTGCCTGATTTTAAAGATAATGGAAACGGATCGCTCAAGCTGTTCCATCGGGAAATAATTCTTGATCATTTATTAACATTGACGCTAGTTTGGATGTTTGTAACAACTCCTGTAGCAAAAGAAATGGCATCAAGACCTTTCTCTTTGACGCTTTCAGTCATCTCCCCACACGACCTCTGCCCCCAACCCCCTCTGCCCCCAACCCCCTCTGCCCCCACCCCTCCCGAATCCAACCCCCAGCTCAGGTGCAAATCCTCGACTGTCAAGGACCTTGGGATGTTCTCCCAACGCGAAAGGCGCTATATAAATGCAATTTGGTGTGGTTGTAAACAACATCTGCACAGTGTAAATTTAGCAGACTAATTGTAGTGGGCAAACATTTTTGAAAAGACATTCAAGCTCACTTTATTTTCGTTATTTTCGCTGGAGCAAATCAGAAGATTAATGGGACCTGGTGGCAATCCAACAGAAACTCAATATGTCACTGCGCAGAGGCAAAAGAGGACATATTGACACTATTTTGCATTCTGCACGGAGGGGAAATTTGAAACAAAAAAAGTGGGTTAATTATTAATTACACAAAAGGCAATCCATAAGGGAATTTGTCACACAAAACTAACAAACAGAATCCACATCATTATACCTGAATAACTACATTTGTCAACAGCATTATTTTCATCTCGACGCCCCCCACCACACACACACAACAACAAATTCCGCACAACTGCTATGAAAATATGTTCCTTCTGCAAAATCAGCATGATGCATTACTGAATCAGAAGCTATTCATTCACCAGTTAAACTAATAGTATTTAACTAATCTGTCTTTGCTGCTGCAGCATCTATGAGGTTGGTGTATACAATCTATTTTTAAACTTTCTGAGTATAGAGGCCTAACTGGGGCCAGAAGGTTTACACTGACGTACAGAGCGTAGCGACTGTGTAATTTGTAAGAGAACGTCAATTTGCGCACGGCAATGTCCCACAAACAGCCGTGAAATGAATGACCCATTTTATCTGAAAGGTTCGTTGGCCAACACACAGGGAGAAATTCTCTTCACTTTTCACGTGGAACTATGGGATCTTTAACCTACACCTGAACAAGACTGACAGGGCCTCAGTTTATGCGCTGCAGTGAGGCTTCTTGCACGTGGTAGTCTTGTAATGTAACTAATATAACACTACACCTAAATAATGATAGTTAATGCAACCCCCAGTACACATAGAATGGTCACCTGTTAATATGACAATACTGTATTCCTAAGAGTGATAAGGGGTCCAGAGGAATGTTCAAGTTAAATTCATCACTTTGTCCTGGCCTGGGAGACAATAACAATCTTAGAATTTGGTAACTAAATTTCAAAAGAGCTCCCAAGTCTGCGGCAGTATTTGGAATTTCAATAAGTGGCTTCATAATAATAATAATAATAATCCCTTGTAAATATTTATTTTGCAAAGGTCTTATTTCCAGTAGGAGAACAGTTCAAATCAAGTGGTTCTGAAAATCCCTTCAAGAGCCAGCGCCAATTTTTTGAGCAGTTCACGAGAAATCAACTCGATTGCAAGACTGAATTACCCGGCTTAACCCTAGTGGCAAGACCGTCCAGCACTTAGTTTTATAATATTCCCTGCATTTGCCTCGCTTTGGTCTACAAGCCCGTGTTCCCCCCTTCACCCTCCTCCCCAGCAAACAAACATTTGGTTCTTCAGATCATCTTCCCTGCTTACTTCAGCGCAGCTAGAAAGCAGCCAGTTGGCATTTGAGGAGAAGACATTGTGTGCCAGTGTACGCTGTCTGTGGTCACTCGATCCTCCAGGACTGGAGGTGTCCAGTGTTCTGGGTTCCCTGCCAAATTGCTCAAGGAAACACCTTGATTAAAAAAAATTCAATGGACTCTCCAATTGGGATTTTTCTTACAGACAAAGGAAAACAAGAACATCCAGCTGCTAATGGAAAGCATTTGTCATCCATCACTAGATGTTGCTCTGCCCAGTCTCTGATGTTGCCGTTACAATACATGGCACCCAATTGCTCTTTTCTCATCACCTGCTGTTTGCAGTCTGTTCCCGACCTCGCGGCGTCAGCTTTCATTTCTTTTACATTCAACACGATTAAGTCTAAGTGTGTACAGCAGGCCAGGTCAAGTCTCACCTCTGATGCTTGCTGCATCCAGACTGGCTCACGTCAGCAGTGTTGGATTGTGAGCAATTGGTCCCATCACCAGGCTCACTTGAAACGCTCATTATTCCATCTGACCCACTCAAGGGCTTCACTGGTGCTTAGTATCCTGAAAAACAATGCCAATTGTCCCATTGCTTTATAACAATAATAATCCTTGCATTTGATACAGCGCCTTATCACGTCTTCGAGATGTCTCAAAGCGCTTCACAGAATATATTGTAAAGTAAATTGACTGTATATTTTGTGGGCGAAACGTGGCAGCCAATTGCGCACAGCAGCGTCCCACAAACAGTCGTGGATTGAAGTGACCAATTTATTATTATCTATTTATTTTTTGGAAGGAATTATCAACAACAACAACAAAATTACATTTGTATAGCGCCTTTCACGTCAGGAGGACGTACTAAAGCGCTGAAACCTCGGAAAAGCGATCCTCCAATTGATTAACAACCGGGTTCCTATTTACTGGTAGGTAAACAGAGGCCTGTGGACTAAGGAAACTTTCCCAACATTTTGCCTTGCTGGGAATCGAACCCATGACCTCTCGTTTGTGAGGCGAGCGCTCTAACCACTGAGCTACAGGACTTTTAGATACAGAAATGGACTTAGTTCACGTTCAAAGCATAAAGGAGGTAACATCTCAGTGATAAATGCCTTTTGGACCGCAATGAAAGGGAACAAAAATAATTTTAGCTTAGCAGTTAAACAGAACAAAGCAGTTCCATTTCCAAGACCTTTTTTTTTACTAAAACACTCGCTTTCCGAGGACACGAGAGACAATCCAGGAAACTCGGGAGTCACATTCGAGCTAGATAGCAATTAGGAGCAAGAGTCTGTCCACATGAACAGGCAGATGGTTTAATTATATTAGGTTCAGGAATCTGTTCAATTATGTTTGGTTCAGCAATTGGTTCAATTATGCTCCTCGTGCAATTATTTAGAGCAAATATTTACAGAGTTTATTTTCCGTTTTACGCCTGGGTTACGGCTTTAGTCGCAGAAACGATTTCATTAAAAAAAATCAAAATTTCGCTGTTGGTCAACCACCACCGATCTATCGGACTGATTCTTTCTTGTATTAGGTTCTACAGATGTACCCCTGGTGTCAAGTAACTGTGATCTCCGTAGCTCCAGATGTGCGTCAGTGCTATAGCGCACACAATGAATATTGATATCAACGCAACAAAAGTTTTGTTTTAAAAGGAAGGTGGAAATTGCACATATTCTGAAGAATTTGCAAGATGCCTTTTTAATATATATATATATATAAAAGTAGCAGCCGAAAGCATGAAAGTCTTGCTTTTGAAAACTAGGAACAAACATAACAGTGATATGTATAGCTAGCTTCCCTTGTATTAAAAATAATAATAATCCTTGCATTTGATACAGCGCCTTATCACATCTTCGAGACATCTCAAAGCGCTTCACGGGATACACTGTAAAGTGAATTGACTTGCATTTTGTAGGCGAAACGCAGTGGCCAATTGGGTACAGCAGTATCCCACACACACAGCAGTGGACTGAGTGAGCAATTATGATTATCGTTTATTATTGTCATGCTGATGGGAGCACTCAAGAAACAGAAGTCCACGTCCATTGACAGTGGAGGTCATATACTAGGGTTAAGCTTCACAAGAGCACTGCAGGCAATAGAAGCCTGGACATTTTAAGCATGAAATGAAGCTATTTTGGTCCATTGTGTCTGTGCTGACTTTAGGGACTCGGGTATCGGAGAACAACCAACATCCGTGGAACCGCACCCCAATAAGAGTCAACTGGACCAGGAGCAGAGGGGAGAAAAATGAGAAAATAAAAATAATATTTGCATTTTGATACAGCGCCTTTTCACATTGTTGAGATGTCTCAAAGCCCTTCACAGAATATAGTGGAGTCCTGTAGCTCAGTGGTTAGAGCACTCGCTTTGCAAGTGAGAGACCTGAGTTCAATTCCAGGCAGGGCGAAACCTTGGGCAAGTTTCCTTACTCCACACGCCTAATAATAATCCCTCCAAAAAAACAAAAACAATAATAAATTGGTCATTTTCAATCTACGACTGTTTGTGGGACATTGCTGTGCGCAATTGGCTGCCGCGTTCGCCTACAAATATACAGTCAATTCACTTTACAGTGTGTTCTGTGAAGCGCTTTGGGACGTCCTCCTGACGTGAAAAGCGCTATATCAAATGCAAGGATTATTATTATTATTATTATTATTATAGTGTAAAGTGAATTGACTGTATATTTTGTGGGAGAAACCCAGCAGCCAATTGCGCACAGCAGCGTCCCACAAACAGACAGAGTCAGTTGATGATTCTGACAAACGTAATTGTTGTTGTTTACCCGGAAGCGAATACTGTTTTATTTCCGATTTTCGCCCTACGTTTTCATTGGCAGAAAAAAACAAAAAAGACATTGATCTTAGTGGTGGGGCGGAAGAAAGAGAACAAAGATCGAAAGTATATCAAATATACATCAAAGGAAATCAAATCAACTTCTTCAAACAAAGCGAAAATAATGGGAATGATGTCATTATTTTCTTAAAATGGAAGATAACTGCCATTGTCTCTGGGAATTTAAAAAAAGGGAGAAATAGCCCCCAAATCAATTGGTTACAAGATTCGCTTACCAGAAAGTGCCTTAATATTTATAACAGGAAGAAGTAAAAAAAAAACTCATGGGAACTTGTGAGCTTGACGTTAGATGTTCCTTGCCTGAACTCTTATCTCCATTGCAACACTCTCTCTCTCGCCCAGTTGGACAGCACGGTAACATTGATTGTGGAAAGCTTCGCTCGACATTAATGCCCGTTAACACTGAACAAAGCGGACATCTGACCACTTGTATCTCGCTCGCTCACATCGGACTGAATGGCAGGCACCAGCAGGGTAGCTGTTGTAGCACACAGTATAATCGATCAGTAAATCCCAGATGGAGGTTGTTCGACGTCTGGAACTTCAACCCGATGATTATATAATCTGTCTGAAATGACGATTGTTATTTTTGGGGGGGATTAAATTGGATCTGCTCTGAAATCTAAACGTGGAAGTTTGCAGGGTTTCTTGGTGCGAATCGATGTGACCACATTATAAAATGCCGCATTTCGCCCCACCATCGGTAAAGCCATACATTAGCCTTGAAACCATTCCAGAACCGTAGAGACAAGCAGACCAGTTTGGCTGTTCAGTTTCAGCCGCACGTTAAAGCACTCTGCGACACTACCCTGCTTGAGGGGTGATACATAAATGCAAGTTGTTGTTGTTGTTGTAACGATCCCGTGGTGCTATTTGAAAAGAGAAGGGAATTTCTCTCCCAGTATCCTGGCCCACAGCACCCCCACAGGCCTAGATTAATAAATTGGCCGTTCATTTCATGGCTGTTTGTGGGACATTGCTATACCCAAATTAGCTGCAGCATTTGCCTACAAACCCACAGTCACTACACTTTACAGTAAAACCCTGTGAAGCTCTTCGAGACGTTACGTCCACATGATCACGCGCTGTATCAAAATGCAAGGGTCATTACATTTGACTACAGATTATTTTGTCTGCTTAGTAAGATTCAATAAAATTCAGGACTTCTGGAGATGTGTGGACATTCCCAGAAATTTCTGGACAAAATAACTTTGCATATTTATCATTGCAGAGCAGAGCTCCCCTGTAATAATAATAATCCTTGCATTTGATAATAGCGCCTTATCACGTCTTTGAGACGTCCCAAAGCACTTCACAGGGTACACTGTAAAGTGAATTGACTGTATATTTTGTGGGTGAAACGCGGCAGCCAATTGCGCACAGCAGCGTCCCCACAAACAGTCGTGGATTGAGTGACCAATTTATTATTTATTTTTAAAGGGATTATTAGCCCCGGAAAGTAATCCGCCAATTTTTAAATCGCTGTAGTCAAATTAGCTTCCACTGAGCCTTCATAATCAGCGAGAACTGCTAAGAAAAAAAATGAGGCTTCTGTAAAAAAAAAATCTGACAAAAGCCAAGGTCTCACCAGACTGATTACTTCAGTGTCAGTTGGAAACATGTTCTTCTGCACTTAATTGTTATAAAAAGTGAAAACTGGGAATATCAGCAGCCGTTGCCCAGAAATGTGGGTCAGAAAACAGCCCAGGGCAGCTGTCCTGTTATTGCCTGCGAGACTGACTCATCCACATCCCACTTTACAGGCATATGGTCCAGGTCTTAAGTTCACCACTCATTAATATGCATCCATCTGTTATTTATCTCCACAAATAGAAAGACGCACGTGAGTGAGTGCTGGCATGGCTGTGGGATACATTTCATCAATTAGGGAATGCTCTTCCAAGAAACTGTTCTACATTTCACAAATAATAATCGAGCTAGCTGTCGTTCCTTCTAAACCGAAGCTTGGTAAAGTTAGAATCATAGAATTCTGCAGCACAGAAGGAGGCCATTCGGCCCATCGTGTCCTGCTCTTTGAAATAGCTAACCAATTAGTCCCACTCCCCCCGCCCCCGCTCTTTCCGCATAGCATTGCAATTTCTTTCCAAGTATAAATCCGATTCACTTTTGAAAGTTATCACTGAAACTTCAAAGGTTTATAATCTACAAACTTGATATGGCTCCTCATCACATTGTTGAAACCGTCTCAAAACGCTTTGCAGGATTTTACTGTAAAGTGTAGCGACTGGTCATTTGTAGTCAAAGGGGTGTGTATATGGGTGTGGATGTGTATGTGTGTGTGAGGGGGTGGGGAAGGGGGCTAACAAGACACAGGGTTAAAACAATGACGATTAGGGGAGAAAACTGCGAACAGCATTTGTGAAAAAAAATGCAATTCCCCCCCATTTCCTGGTTGCACTTTGCCCAGAAACCGTCAGTGTGAATTTAATGGCAACCCATAACTCGGTCAAGGTGACGTATCACCAATTTCATTCCCTTCCCGTTGCTTCCAATGTCCGAGAAATTCCAACAAAGGTGCCGATTTTGTTTAAAACGTCAAAAGGCCTGTTCTTCAAATAAATGCCAGCGATATGTACAGACAAACAATTAATTCTGCTGCAAACCGGGGCAAGGGATTAAGCAATAGATGGATTCTCAGATTGCCAACAAAGGTGTTTTGAGACATCCTCCTGACTTGAAAGGCGTTACATAAATTGTATTGGATAAAATGCCAGATATTCTACTGCTTGCCTATATTTGTAAATCTTCAGGAATCCTTCCCCAACCCCATCCCCTACTTCTTTGTGTCCCACCATCCTCCTCCGCTTGATATTTTTCCAACTCATTTTACACCCCAGAGAAAATTCTCATTGCAATCTGATAAATTAATAGAATATGCAAATAGTGAAGGAACGCTAGTCACATCAAGAGGTACCCCACATCAAGCCACTCTGTAATTACAATATGTGTTCCGGGTCACGCTTGCTTAAGATGGCAATTCCCGCTCTGCTTGCAAGAATGTTAAGTTAATAAATATTCAGAGTGTATCGCGTAACTACTCGGGAGAGTTTGTTGTAATCTCAGTGTTTGGATAAAGGGCACGAGAGTTTAGTGATCCTTGTGTGTTCAGACTTGCGAGGGGTTGGGGAGAGAGAGGGGGAAAGGAGAATTAATTCCCCAAATCCACAAGCACTTGGCTTTAATATATGTAATTTGGAATCACCATTAAAGCTGGTTGGGGAAAGGGTCTGAATCAGTCACTCACTGCTTTTACCCACCAGGAGTGGAGAGCTCCAAGGACAAGTGTTGAAAGCCATGTATATGCTGATTGCACATTACAGGGGTAATTCTGTAATTCTCTCCCCCCACCCCGGTTCGGCGTCAAACTCTGCAACTGTTAAGCGCTCCAAGACACCATCTACCATGAAGGTCGCTATATAAATGCAAGTTGTTGTTGTTATCACGTTGTCAAAACATCTCACGCGGGGATTTTACTGTGAGGCATTGGGACTCTTGTATTCGTAAGCAAATTATTGAGCGCGGATGAATTGGAAGGTCAGCGAACAACCGAGTGGGCCTTGGAGGAACCTGCAGCCCAGTTTGGGATGTTGATTGACCTGTTGCGTATTTCCAGCTGGTTCTATTTTTAGCCCCAGCGATGGTAACTCTGCTCCTTTAAGGCCCAGAACTGAAACAGAATGTTAATGACGGAGGCTCAGCGAAGGGCCTTGGAGGCACAATTCGATACAGTCAGTGGCTTCCAGGAAAACCTGCACCAGTGCTTAACTCCTTCTTCTCTTCAGTTTGTCCCACAGTATATAAAAAAGGAAGCAGATAAAGCAATCAGCCTCGCGGAGCAGTGAAAGGAGAGGTGCTCTTTGACAGAAAGGCAGAGACAGACACAAACAAACAAGCAAACAAACAAACAGGCAGCGACAAACAAATAATATTCCTTGCATTTGATATAGCGCTTTTCACGTCGGGAGGACGTCCCAAAGCGCTTCACAGAACACACTGTAAAGTGAATTGACTGTATATTTGTGGGCGAACGCGGCAGCCAATTGCGCACAGCAATGTCCCACAAACAGTCGTAGATTGAAAATGACCAATTTAATTATTGTTTTTGGTTTTGGAGGGATTATTATTAGGCTCTGTGTGGAGTAAGGAAACTTGCCCGAGGTTTCGCCCTCTGCCTGGAATTGAACTCAGGTCTCTCACTTGCAAAGCGAGCGCTCTAACCACTGAGTTACAGGACTCCACACAAATGGACAGAGATACAGACAGACGGAGACAAAGACAGACAGAGATACACATAGACAGACAGACAGACAAACGGACACAGATCAGCAACACCAAGGAGACATTCGTACAAAATTTAGAAAATCGCTATCAAATTCCTCGCCCGTTACGTATAAGAAAAAATCTCAAGTTGTGCAGCCGCTGTGGGTGGCAGCGCAGTGCAATAAAAAGGTACTGGCCGCCAATAGACCCCTTGGGAAACGTGCCACGTTCCATCTGCCCCTCGCTATTATTAAGTCTTCGGCCATTTTGGAGCCGGCCGCCTTGGCCACAGCTGGACCACGTTACACGCCGTTTGTTTTGTGGCCGGACTGAAGCACGGCGCTTCTCAATCGTGCCTCGCGAGGCACCTGCAGATTCCCGTGTCAAATGGCACGCACTCTGCCTCAGAGACTATTTGCATAAGTGCACAAGTGCACCACCATCAGGCAACACTGCCAACGAGCAGCGACACTGACTGCACTCCACGCAAAAGCCAAAAATACTGAAGATACTGGAAACCTGAAATAATAATCATAGGTAATAATAATCATCCTGGCATTTGACGCGGCGCCTTATCACAAGACGTCTCAAAGCACTTCGCAGGTTACACTGTAAAGCGAACTGACTGCATATTTTGTGGGCGAATTGCACACAGCAGCGTCCAGACACAGAGTAATGGATTGAGTGACCAATTGTTTTTAAGTTATTATTATTATGACGAAAGGTCATCGACCCAAAACGTTAACTCACTTTCCTCTCTTTGTAGGTGCTGCCTGACCTGCTGAGTGTTCCCAGCGACTTCTGTTACCCATGCCTTGCATGCAATGGGAATTACTCTCAACAAGGCGCTGCAGATAAAACAGAAAGGATGCCGTGGTTATTTCAAGTCTCTCTGCACTTCACATCATGACAGCATTTCTACATTTATACAGCCTAGTCCTTGCGTTTGATACAGTGCCTTCTCAAGTCGTCAAGACATCTCAAAGCACTTCACAGGTTTCCGCTGTGAAGTGTATTGACCGTATATTTTGCAGGCAAATGCGCCAGCCAGTTCACACACAGCAGTGTCCGACATTGCAATGAGTAATTGATGTTATTGGAGGTGGCGGTGGTTGATGGCCAGGACACCCGAGAAACTCGCTTTTCTTTTCAAAATAGTGCCGTTGGCATCCACCTGAACAGGCACACAAGGGATCTTGGCTTAACATCAAGCACCTCCGACACGCTTTGGGACACAACCCTGGTGAGGGGCACTATATAAATGCAAGTTGCTGTTGTTGAGGGTAAGGGTTAGGAAGGTGACCGAAGGCACGGTCGAAGAGGAGGGTCTTGAGACAGGCCTTGAGGGAGGCAATGGAGGGAGCGAGGCGAAGAGACTGCGGGATGGAATTCCAAAGGGTGGGGGCCGAGAGGCTGAAGGCCCGACCGCCTAGGGTAGGGTGGGCCGGGCAGGGGGCATGGAACTGGCTGAGCGGAGAGATCTGTATGGAGTTAACGGGTCCCAGAGATAGGGAGGATCAAGGCCGTGGAGGGTTTTGAAGGCAAGGATGAGGTTTTTGAACTCTAAACATGGAATGATCCAATCAACCCAAAACGGGCAGATTCTCAGATGAAGTTCATTTTCCAGTTGTTCCCAGTTTTTTTTAAATTTAGGCTCAGATCCTACCAGCCAGCAACCACAGAGACCCCCACAGGCAGATCAGATCTCCCGCTGGAGGAGAAAATGAGGAGGAAATGGAATCGCAAGGAGGTACCTTCTTATTCCGAAATGTTTAATACCTCTTTGAGGTCCACCTCGATTACTTCAGCTGCAAATAGGGGGGGGGGGGGGAAATCCACTACTCAAACCGCTTCAAAGGGAGACTCACTCTTTGATATAACGAGGTAATAATTCCTTCACAATAAACTTCAATAATTTGGTCATTCATTACCACGATCGATGGTGGTGCACTGCTGTGCGTAATTGCCTACGTTATATCGCGATCCACCAATCGAAGTAACAACCAAGTTCTCGCTTACCGCCAGGTAAACAGAGGTGTGCGGAGTAAAGAAACTTGCCCAACGTTTCCTCCGATCGATTATTATTCCCGGGAATTATTACTATTATTCACTGGAAAAGCTCCCGGGGCTTGGCGAGAGCTCTTAGTTCAAAATACTTTCCGAGCAAAGGCTTTTGATCCCGATACATTTCCGACTCAGGAGCAGGAGGCACGAAGCTTTGGGAACTGCAACAACACGTAAAAGAGATGTTTGGACAAAAAAAAATGTCTTCGTTCTCAGCCGGTTTTCTCTCAACCACAAGGTGGCACTGATACAACTGTGAAAAAAAAAGGGACCCCAATGCTTTCAGGTGCCTTTCAGACGTTCTGTTTTCATTTGACAAAACTAGTTACGTTCTGCAGCACAGCGGTAATTAATGGGCTATTTTGATAGCCAAATAAAACGAGCGGTTCCAGATGGGACTCATTAATTGCACAGATGTTAAAGACAAATTTTGAAACTCAAGCCACCGTGAATCGATTCGCGCTAAGCGACAAGTCAGCTACGTTACTGGAGCAGATCCTCGTTTGCTGCCTTACGAATGCTTTGGCCTGACGAGTGGACCGAGTGGTTGTCGGGCACACTTGTGTGTGTGGGTTTGTTCGGAGGTTCTCGAGAGGTGGCAATTGGGTTTCCACGCGAGTCAGATGCGCAGTGTCAAGCGCTCTGGGATGCTACTGTACGTGAGGGGGTGCTATATAAATGCAAGTTGCTGTTGTTGTTGCCGACCAGAGGCTAAACACCCTCTCCTGTGTCGTTGAACGTGATGCGTTTTTCGGGGTTCGGAGATTTGGTTTGAAGCAAAAAGCATCAATGTCCTTAAGAGGAAAGTTGACGTACACTTGATTGAGGGAACAGAAGGATGTAGGAGTAGGGATTAGGAGGTGTGGAGACTTGTGTGGTCTCTGAATACCAACACGGACTAGTTGGGACGTAATGTCCTGTTTCTGTGCTGTCATATTCTCTGTAACTATGTGACGATCTACATCAGGTCTAAATGGTTGCCAAGCTCTGCGTGGATAATTTTGGCACCTTTCCAGGGAATAAAATCTCTTAAGTTTTTCTCGAGCTGCTGTTTTGCAATTTGTGTGTCGGGTGGGGGTTGGGTTGGTGTGGGGGAACGGGTAAAAATTAGGAGAGGCACTGGGGGAAAGGTGGAAGTGACTGTAAGCACGGTCAAAGAGGAAGGTCTTCAGTCGTAATCCAAACGAGGGGAAGGAGGGGGGCAAGGCGGAGGGATTGGTTGGGGATGTGGGGGGGAAAGAGAGTTCCAAAGCTTCGTGGCGTATTGGCTGAAAGCGCAGCCTCCGATGGCGAAGCGGAGAGGACGAGCGAGGGCAAAAAAAAATACAGGTTCGCGTATGATTTCTTGAACGTGTGTCGACTTGTCCCTGAAGTGACTGTGGGGGTGGAACGATTTGGGTGTTAACGCAGTTCCGATTCAATCTTATCGGTGTTTATTCTCATTGTCAGTAGCTGCTGCAGGCAGTTCTCTAGGTGCTTGCTCTTTGAGCTGCACTGTGCGGTTAATCTCTGTGATCTTGTGGTGAAGTGGAGGTGTTTTCAAACCCACGTCAAAAAAAAAATACATCAACACTCCTCTGCACTCTAGTTGGTGGCCGCCTCTTCTCCTTCCTGCTGCTGCGGTCCCAAGGGGTGGGTGGGGGTGGGTGTAACTTCATCAATGTGGAGATCGCATTAGTTGGGTGTTTAGCTGTTGCCGTAGCAGCACAAGGAGGAATTGCTCTTCACGGTGCGTTAGCTTCGAGTGTCTCGGTGGGATTGTTAGCAAGCGCTGGGTTAGTTGATTGGCGGATCGCTTTTCCAGGGGTAATAATTCCTTCAAAAAATAACAACAAATAACTCGGTCGCTTCAATCCACGGCTGTTTGTGGGGACGCTGCTGTGCGCAGTTGGCTGCTGCGTCTCACCCCACAAAATGTACAGTCAATTCACTTTACAGTGTATTTTGCGAAACGCTTTGAGACGTCTCGAAGACGTGATAAGGCGTTGTATCAAATGCAAGGATTATTATTATTATGATTATTATTAATATCTGGTGGCCATGGTTTCTGGATTTAGTATGAAGCTAGTATGGTTAGAAAGAACACCACCTCAGCATTAGACATTCAACAGGTCCAGAGGTCAAAATCAGAATATCCACACCAGACTCCGTGACCCCATCACCCCCACCCTCGCCCGGCTCCACCGGCTCCCCATCCCTCAGAGGACAGAATTAAAAATCCTCGTCCTCACTTTCAAGGCCCTCCATGGCCTTGCCCCCACCTACACGTCTGTCCTGCTGACCCCCTATCATCCTGTCCGTTCCCTCCGCTCAGGAGGCTCTGACCTGCTGCAGGTCTCCCG